TGTAGCACCATATGTCCCAAGCCTCGCCCATGTCTAGCCTCTTGCTCTTGAGGTTCTGCATGGTGTTGAACCTGTCTTGAATGAATTTGCAGTCTGTGGGCCAACTCCGCTTGCTTGCATGCATGATATCAACCATGACCATCGAAGCACGCCTCCACTGCCTGGACCTTGGATCTCCAGGAGGTGAGTGACCTGGTGCTTTGCGGACCGCAGCCACCATCTTGAATTCGGGCTCTGTGAACTGTGCCCGCCCCCTGCAAGCTCGTCCGCGTCGATCCTCTAGTTGAAATCGGCGAACGAGTTCTTGGTCAGCTAAAGCATGCCATTGAGAGAAACACCAATGTAGGTCTTCACGGTCTGTCACATATTCACATTCACTCTGAACTTGCTGATATGATGGCGGCGGGGGCGCTGGTCCTAGCGGGCATACCTTGGGCAACTTCTTTGGAACCTTGAGCTGTTGTACAAGGGCTGCACCTGGCCCCGCACGAAGCGAGAGCCGAACACCCCAATGCGTCGCTATCGAAAGCCCCTCGGTCCTGGCCATATCCATAATGAGTCCTTTGAAATGCTGGCTGACCACAAAGTAGTCGAGCACTCGTCCTTCTCCACATGCACATGTCCATTGCGTCGGAGCTGCTATCATCGCTGGTACCTGCGCAAGAATGTTAAGGTCGGAGAGCTCTTGAGGAGTCATATTCCAGTCCCCGCCTATGATGAACGGCCTGCCTAGCCTCTGCAGCTGCTCCATCACCAGCATGATGATTCGCTTGTTCTCATCTTCGTAGTCACGCACCTTGTGCCCTGATATCAAGTATATGGACGCAAGAATGAACCCACCTGGCAGCATACCATCGACCCATTGCATAGCCCATCTCCACTGTGGTGCACAAACTCCCCCAAGATCAGGCGGCACCGCCGACGCAATATCTTGTCTGACTCCAACCGCGACTCCAGGGCTGGCGGCGTGTCCTTCACCTTTGTAAGCAGACGGTATATGGCAATTCCAACCTTGATGCTGTAGACGCAGCTGTGCGTCTCCTGTGTTACCTTTGAGAATCTTGTGCTCCTGAAGCAAAATGCCATCCGTGTTGGGAAACATCTCTGAGATCCCTGTCGCTACTAGCACCATCTTGACCGCTTCCTTCTGCGCCGCCGTGATATTCACCGTGACGAAACTCCAGTCTCTCTCATGTCGCGATAGCGTCGGCGCTGCAACATCAGCATCAAGCTCCCCAGTGCCATCTGACCGCTCTCGTAGTCCATGTGCGGTGGTGCCTCCTCTGCACTCCCCTGCAGGGGCTGACCTCCCGTCGGAGGACCCGCAGGGCGGATCTCCCCCAGTCTGGGCATCGACCACCTGCCCGTCGGCAGCCAGACCAGAGGGTTCAGCACCACCGCTGTCGTGTGCTCGTCGTTCATGGGTGGCAGGGCCTCCTCTGCACTCCCCTGCGAGGGCTGACCTCCCGTCGGAGGACCCGCAGGGCGGATCGCCTCTGAACTGGGCATCGACCACCTGCCCGTCGGCAGCCAGCTCAGAGGGTTCAGCCCTACCACCAGTACTAGAGTCATCTCCAGTTCCCAAAGGCACTCCCATACGCACGAGCACCTGATCCAAAGCGTGAACCAACCGTCCGTAGCCCACTGCGTCACCTCTACGACCACTCCCGTCGTGTACGTCCAGAAGACCTTGCTTCAAGCCCTCCGAAATCCGCTTCACACTGCCCCGCATAAGCACAAGTAAGTGATCTTGTCGCCCCCAGCCAACTTGACCATGTCTCACAGCCTCACAACTGACCGTCTTGCGCATGTTCTGTAGCTGGGGGCTGGGTTTTGCGCCGCTTTGCCACAGCGGCCATGTTGACTGCAACCATTGTCTCGAGCATACGGCTTCTGGCTGCCTTGATTCGCTTACTCTCCTCGTCAGAGTCGACCCCATCCAGCTTGAGTCCAGCTTGCTCGAAGACTTCTTCGTAATCTGCTTCGTCAGGTACGGGAATGTCAGCAGCCATATCAATATCATCGTCAGCATGCACAGGCTGATGGGTCTGGTAGGGGACATTCGCTTGCTGCTGCTGCTGCTGCTGCTGCTGCTGCTGCTGCTCTCTCTCGGCCAGCTGCTTGTCGAGCAGCTCCAGCGCTTGCTGAAGTGCTTTGAGAGGCCCAGCGAGTTCATCAGGCATCTCAGGCTTGCCCAACCGCTTCTGAAGACTGGCCACCTGTCCACAGAGAGCAATGGCGGGATGCGCGGCTTGAGCGTGTCCTCCATCAGCGGCTTCTCGCATGAATGCTGCAGCCTGCGCTTCTTTGATCTTCTGCCTCCTGTTCTCGTGGTTGCGCACAATCTCTCGTTCGGCATCTCTGGCTTCCAACGCCGCTTCGAGCTCTGCCTCTCGTTCTCGAAGTCGTTCTTTGGCCTTGTCCAGCTTCTGTGTGACACCCTGCATGCGCTGGCCAAGCTGGAACGATGACATGTTATCGTAATCGGGCGCCTGGTACACCTCGTCCTCCTTTGGCTCGGCCTGCACAGCCTTGTCCCAAACGGCAACAAGCTGCTTGCAGTCGTCAGGCCAGCTCGATCGGTCGTCGCCATGCGCCTTGGCCATGCTGGCCAGCATGGTCCTCGCTGTCGCAGGATCCGTCTCGATGATCTTGGCGTCGCCTGCGGCTGCAGTGGTGCGTGCCTGAGCGTCCGCCTCAGCGTTCTGCTCGCCGCGCCCGAGACGGGGCGGGCCAGCAGCCCAACGATTCGGCCTCTCTGGCTTTGATCCTCCATAGCCATAGCCCGACCTCCAGGGCCAGCTCTGCTGCTGAGCCGAGCGCGGGGCGGCATGGCCGCAGCGATAGCAGTGCGTCCTGAACCCGTAGTTCTCGAACGCCCCGCCATGCTGCCGCGCACAGTTGCCGCACTGCCACGCCTTGCCCATCCGCCGCGGGCGCGCCCGCTGGCCTGAGAGGTTCGAGAAGAATGGCCCGCACGCGCGAGCCGTTCTGAAGTACGCGCGTGCAAGCACAGGGTCGCCACCTGTGCCAGAACGGCTGGAGGAGGAGGAGGAGGAGGAGGAGGAGGAGGAGGAGGAGGAGGAGGAGGAGGAGGAGGAGGAGGGGGGGCGGGGGGGGTAGGGGAAGTGCGCCATGGGCCCTCGGAATGCTTCGAGTCCAAGCTGCTTGCACGAGGAGCTCCCTTCCGATGAGCGCCCACTCGGATCCGAAGGTCGAGTGCTGCCGGGAGAGCCCCTGGCCCGAGGTGTCCTCAGGGTTTCTATAGGTATAGGCCTCCGGGTTCTCCAAACAGGCCTGCGAGGAAATCAGCGAACACTCGTGCCACATTCATCTGTCAATGTCCGCCCCCATGATCACTAGTGGCGGTGGGTTGATGCGTTGCACTTCGACCGCAGTCCTCCACGCGCGTGCCAACTTGCGGAAGAGCCGGAGTGTCCACTGAGTGTTTCCCTCCACCGACGCACCGCTCACGAGGCCCAGGGGGGCCCCAGGAGCTCCAGAACGGAGCGAGAAGCTGGGGGCCTTCTGGCCCAGAGTCCTGCAGCACGCACGACGGAAGAGCTCCGCTGGCTTCGGCCTCGGGGGGGGGCCCTGCCGGGCCTCGGGGCCGTCCAACCACGACTCGCCTCGGGCCGCGGGGCAGCTGCGGCGAGTGCCCCCCACACGGCTCCGCAGGCCCAGGGGGGAGGCGCGCGGCGCGGGCTCCTCCGGTGCGGCGCGTGCTCACGGTGCTGGCCCCCCCGGCAGCCCTCGAAAGGGGCGACGGTTTCGCAGATCGCAGCCCCCCCCCCCAGGGATGGCGAGGTCCACTCCGAATCTGCGGCGAGTGCCCGCGATGCTGGCCCCCCCGGCAGCCCTCGGAAGTGATGACGGTTTCGCAGATCGCAGCCCCCCAGGGATGGCGAGGTCCAATCCGAATCTGCTGCGGGAGCAGCGAGGGGAGGCCCTGCGCCCCGGGTTCTCGGAGTTCTCGAAGTCGAGCTGGTCGCAAAACAGAAGCCTTCGGCGAGCCCGGGGAAGGGCAGTGAGAAGGAGAAGGCCTTCTCCAAAGGCTCGGAAGTCTAAAGGCCTTCTGAAAAGTTGTCCCTGTGCCTTCCCCGAAGACGCAGAAAACTTCTCAGAAGGCCTCAGAAGCCCCGCCGCCTTCTGAGAGGGCCTTCTTCTTCTCACTTCCCCCCTCGCTCGCCGCCGAAGAAGCACCTCCTCTTGAGCGCCCGATCCACCTCATGATCGACGACGGATGCAGAGCTCAGGCCGACCCACGGCTGCCTGACGCCTGGACTCCCCGCGGCGTGCCCTGCACACCCGGGAAGCAGCACGACACTCGACGCCTCGGCTACCTCCATGTGACCTGATTGCGAACCAAAGAGATGCCGGGCAAACACGGACCACCATACAGGCCGACCTGTAGCAGGCAAACCCGCGTACAGGACTTCAGCCTGGGAGGCAACACGATGGCACCAGGCCCAGCTGCCCCGATGCGCAACACGGAACACGCAGCGTGTCGACACGGAGTTCGACACGTAGACTGGACGCGATACGTCAGCCAAAACGTGAACCAGCACGTTGAGCCATTACGCAACGTATTGACACGGACGTTTTGAACACGGCGCTGCGTTCCAAAACGGGCGCATCGAGGCAGCCAAGACGCCCACTCGGAAAACGCCCACTCGGAACGCCCAAGACTCCGTCGGGCGCTCGGCCTTCTCAGAGCGTTCCAGAACGCTGTGAGAGCGTCCAGGATCGCTCAGTGGCGGATTCATCCTAGTCCTGGCCCCGTCCGCTGTATCTGTCTCGGCGCCAGCCTGATGAGCATATGCAGTCATCCGTCGGCGTGAGGCTCGAACCCGCTGAAGGAACAAGGGCGCAGAGCGCAGCGCGACCCAGAGTGCTGCCCGAGCCGACGACGGATCATTGCTGCGCGTGGGTGATGCGATACTACCTTCCCCCTCGCCCTGGAGGTCTGAAGTCTGCAGGGTTTGAGGGCCCCTGGCGGCCGTCATGCGCCACAAGTTCAGGTACGATGGCCCGCTGGTGGAGTAGTCGCCCGCGTCCTGGCCTAGCAGCTCGCGGCTCCCTGTCCGGGGCGAGGGGAGGGGCGACTGCGGGAATTGCTACCACATCCATCTGCCTTCCTTCCGACTCTCTTTTCTCCATCTCTTCCCTCCTCTCGCCAGCCTCCTCGCCCGCCTCACACTCCGCCCATCACGGCCACCGCGCCTTGCAGCGAATCCGGCAGGGATTGGGCCTTCGCCGCGAGTCCCTTGGCAGGGTGTGGCCATTTCGGCTCAGCGTTGCTTCGGCTGCTGCGTCTTTGGCTGCATCGGCCGCTGCCCCTCTCCCACCCTCTCCGCCTCGCACGCCCGTCACCACTGACTGGCTAGAGGCTGTGAAAGCTCGGGTGGCGGCTCGGGAGCAGGCCAATACGGAGAGACACTCTGGACATGCCACATGAACTTCGGAAGAACTGTCGATACCTGTTGGCTTATGCTGACGACCAACTCCCATCGCTGGCTCATGCCAACGTCCACTTTCCATCGTCCAACTCCAGTAGCTGTCGATGCTTGTTGGCTCATGCCCCTCCCCGCCAAGATCTCGAGAGGGGTAATTACGGGACTCTCGAGCAATCAGAACCGCGCTGGAGCTCGGGCTTCGAGCGCACCAGCGCGAGGACCACGCAACGCGCACTTAATTATTACATGTTGCAGGGAACCATCAGGAAACGACAAAGACTGCGAACCTCGCGACGCCACCTCGCTTCCTGACTACAGCGGTCACCACCCTCTCAACTCCGCCGCGGGCAGCAGCTCGTGCTCCGGGCGTGCCGGTGCTCCGGCTTCGGCAGCAGTGGCGCGGGCCGGGCCCTCTCTCCGGCCTCTCGCTCCGTGGCTGCCCGCCAAGGCGCGGCGCGGCGGCCTTGGTCGGCGCAGAAGCACCGGAAGAGGCAGAAGACGAGGACGAACACGAGGAGGAGCCCCAGGAGGCTGGCGACGTCGACGCGCCAGTCCTCTGGGAGGGCGCGAGGAGGAGAGGGGGGAGGACGGACGAGCGGCCGCTGGCACGAGCCCCGTGGAGGGAGAGGGGGGCGGAGACGATGCGAGAGAAAAAGGGAAGAGAGCGATGGTAAGGAACCGCACTCTACACACCGAGGCTTTTTCCGGCTCCGCACCGAAACTCGCACGGGAAAGCGGATCCTGGTGTATACGGGATCCTGGCGTATACGTTTGTCGCTGTTTCCCCTGCAAAATGCGGAAGCCAGAAGACACCACACGACCCCGGATTCGCCCCCGACCCTCAAAAGTCTTGGGATTGAAAAACAGCCCGCCACTGGTAATGTATATGTTCCAGTTTCCGAGAGGAGGCGGCGAGCGGGGAGCTTGAAGCGATGTGGCCCCGGGGCGCCTTTAACCACGCTGGTGGGACCAGTAGGGTAACGAACAGTGACGTACACAGAAAGCTCAAAGGTCCACGCGGATTTCTTGGATCCACGCTGGACCCCCCCTCCCTGGCGCGCGGAGCGCGCCAGTGGCGGCGCCTCCGGCGCCGCCAGGGGGGTCCAGCGCGGATCCGAGAAATCCGCGCGGACCCCCGAGCTTTTTATGTTTACGTCATTCTTCGTGCCCCTGGGAGGCCTGATGTGCCACCATGCCACGGCGCACCACCCGAGGGCAGGGCAGCCAGGGAGCAAAGCGGGGCGGCGAAAGGCGACATGGGGAAGAGGGCAGGGACGGCGGGAGACGGGAGATGGAGAGGGAGTGGGGAGACCGGGCAGGACGGGGGGGGTGGAGGGAGGTGAGGAAGAGGGAGGGGGCGGCGCTCGCTGGAGCAGGACATCCTACCCCACCGTGCAAAACGAAAGCAACGGCTGTTTTTCTACACACCTCCCCCCCCACCCCCCCAAGTTCAATGTTCAATGCGGTGTCGATTTTTTTTTCGAACTTCGACGGTCGCGCGATCAGCATTGAAATGGGGGGCCGGGGGGCTCACCAAACCCCAGTTGCGTTTCGCATGGGGCTGTAGCCACCGCTCAAGATAGCCCGAGTCAGCGGCCATCCATCATCGCCGACAGGCTCTCACATGGGCTTCGTATACATCTGACTCCACCGCAGCGCAGGTCGGACGTCGAACGCGGGGAGTCGGGAGACCCCACCCCGAAATCGGGACTCATCGGAGAAAGGCCAATTGAGACAATGGCGGCACTTGCGCGCAAATCCGCATAAAATCTGTCCCAGACCCCTCGCGGGGTTCATCCTAATATTTTTCCCGAGCCAGATCAAGGACCCACTTGATGCTACGAGAAGCATCCAGGAAGCCAAACAAGGATCAGAAACGCCAAGGAAGGCCTCCATTTCTCGACTGGCCCTTCTCTGACCTCAGGGCTGTGGTCCAGCTTCTTCCACTGGGATCTGGGCAAATGCACCTGGCACCAGCCCTGGGACCCGTGTGGTGGGATCTCCCCGCACTGGCTGCCCACTCGGCGGCCGAAGGGGCCTGGGCGCCAAGCGGGCTCGGAATGGGAAAACTGAGGGTACGCTTAGGTCGGGCATGTCCTCCTACAGGCGGGTCTTGGACGGCAAAGGACACATAGCCAAACAAGATGCAACAGTAAACAACAGAGCACGAACAACCGCCGCCAGACGATGTTTTACTACTCTTGACTACTCCTCCTGTAGAGGGACAGGCCCGACTTCAGCTTAGAGGTGGAAGGATCTGGGGGCACGGTCGAAGCATGGCCGCAGCGCGCGGGTCAAGAAGTTGAGCTGTCCTGGCCGAAGGTCCGGGGCCCAAGGCACCCCAAAGGGGGAAGGCCAAACACACGCACACACAGAGAACGTAAGGCCACCCCTCTAGAGCTGTGCATATATATATATATATATATACATATATATATATATACGCATACACATACATGATTATATATCACGTACATATATATATATATATATATATACAGGGGGGTGGCCCGGTGGGTTCCCCATTCGGCCTGAAGATGAAGACTCTATTTGAAGACTCTATTGTGTTGAAGACTCTATGTGAAGACTCTATTCGCCTGACGCTCGATGACGCCTGTGACGCCTCTATTCTGGCTGACGCCTCTATTGGCCTGACGCCCGATGACGCCTCTGACGCCTCTATTCGTCTGACGCCTTTATTCGCTCGGCGCCGTATTTGCTCTGTCGTTCCTATGGGCCAGACGATCGCTGAAACCCGTGACGCCTTGATTCGGTCTGACGCCTCTATTCGGCTGACGCCCGCTGACGCTCCTGACGCCTCTATTCTGCCTGACGCCTCTATTCGCCTGAAGACCGATGACGCCCGTGACGCCTCTATTCCTCTGACGCCTTTATTCGGCTGACGCCCGATGACGCCTGTGACGCCTCTATTCTGGCTGACGCCTCTATTCGGCTGACGCTCGCTGACGCTCCTGACGCCTCTATTCTGCCTGACGCCTCTATTCGCCTGAAGACCGATGACGCCCGTGACGCCTCTATTTCCCTGACGCCTTTATTCGGCTGACGCCCGATATGCCCAAAATCACAAAAAAAAAAAAAAAAATAAATGATAATCACTAAAATATGCCCAAAATCACTTTAAAAAAGTGTGGAAATCGTTACAATATGCCCCAAATCATTTTTTATATAAAAAACACTCAAATATACCCAAAACAAAAACAAAAACAAAAAAACACTGAACATCATTAAAATATGCCCGACGGACCCTGTCCGCGGCGGGGGGTCTCCCGTGGAGAATCTGGCCCCGATTCCCCACGGGAGATCATCCGCCGCGGACGGGGCCCGACACCATGCCAAATGGGATCTCCCTGGGCGGGTTTTCGGGGCGTGACCCGTGACACCATGCCAAACGGAACCTCCCGGGGAGGGTTTTCGAAGGCCCGACACCATGCCAAACGGAACCTCGCGAACCAAATTTTCGGGGCGTGACCTGTGACACCATGCCAAACGGAACCTCCCGGGGCGGGTTTTCGAAGCCCCGACACCATGCCAAACGGGACCTCCCGGGACCATTACTACCCAAAACTACAAAGGAACAGTAGAAATCATTAAAATACGTTCAAAATCACAAAAAAATATTGAAAATCCATAAAATATATACAAAATCATTAAAAAAAAAAAACTATGGAAATCATTAAAATATCACCCAAATCACAAAAAAAAAAAAAAAAAAAAAAAACGACAATCATTAAAATATGCCCGACGGACCCTGTCCGCGGCGGGGGGTCTCCCGTGGAGAATCTGGCCCCGATTCCCCACGGGAGAGCATCCGCCGCGGACGGAGCCCTCGGGGAGCCCCCCAACGGGCCCTGTCCGCGGCGGAGGCTCTCCCATGGAGAATCTGGCCCAGATTCCCCACGGGAGACCATCCGCCGCGGACGGAGCTCTCGGGGAGCCCCCCGACGGACCCTGTCCGCGGCGGGCCGAAACTACAAAAAACACTAGAAATCATTAAAATATGGCCAAAATCAGAGGGGGGAGAAAAAAAAAAAAAGAAAAAAAAAAAAAAAAAAAAAAAAAAAAAAAAATCTGGAAATCACCAAAATAGACCCACAATCATGTAAAACAACTATGGAAATCATTAAACTATCCTCCAAATCATGAAAAAACTGAAAATCACTAAAGTATACCCAAAACAAAAAAAAAACAAAAAAACTGAACATCATTAAAATATACCCGACGGACCCTGTCCGCGGCGGGGGGTCTCCCGTGGAGAATCTGGCCCCGATTCCCCACGGGAGAGCATCCGCCGCGGACGGAGCCCTCGGGGAGCCCCCCAACGGGCCCTGTCCGCGGCGGAGGCTCTCCCATGGAGAATCTGGCTCAGATTCCCCACGGGAGACCATCCGCCGCGGACGGAGCTCTCGGGGAGCCCCCCGACGGACCCTGTCCGCGGCGGGCCGAAACTACAAAAAACACTAGAAAAATCATTACAATATTGCCAAAATCAGAGGAGAAAAAAAAAAAAAAAAAAAAAAAAAAAAAAAAAAAAAAAAAAAAAAAAAAAAAAAAAAAAAAAAAAAAAAAAAAAAAAAAACGGATAATCACTAAAATATACCCAAAATCATTTTAAAAAACTATGGAAATCCTTAAAATATCATCCAAATCACCAAAAAAAACACTGAAAATCACTAAAGTATACCCAAAACAACAACAAAAAAAACAATGAAAATCATTAAAATATACCCGACGGACCCTGTCCGCGGCGGGGAGTCTCCCGTGGAGAATCTGGCCCCGATTCCCCACGGGAGACCATCCGCCGCGGACGGGGCCCTCGGGGAGACCCCCAACGGGCCCTGTCCGCGGCGGAGGCTCTCCCATGGAGAATCTGGCCCAGATTCCCCACGGGAGACCATCCGCCGCGGACGGAGCTCTCGGGGAGCCCCCCGACGGACCCTGTCCGCGGCGGGCCGAAACTACAAAAAAACACTGAAATCATTAAAATATACCCAAAATTCACAAACAAAAAAAAAAAAAAAAAAAACTGAAAATCACTAAAATATGCCCAAAATCACTTAAAAACTATGGAAATCATTAAAATATGCCCCAAATCATTAAAAAAAAAAAAAAAAAAAAAAAAAAAAAAAAAAAAAAAAAAAAAAAAAAAAAAAAAAAAAAAAAAAAAAAAAAAAAAAAAAAAAAAAAAAACACTAAAATATGCCCAAAACAACACCAAAAAAAAAAAAAACTGAAAATCACTAAAATATGCCCGACAGACCAAACGGAACCTCCCGGGGCGGGTCTAGGGGGCCCGAGACACCATGCCAAACGGGATCTCCCGGAACCAAATTTTCGGGGCGTGACCCGTGACACCATGCCAAACGGAACCTCCCGTGGCGGGTTTTCGAAGCCCCGACACCATGCCAAACGGGAACTCCCGGGGCGGGTTTTCGAAGGCCCGACACCATGCCAAACGGGACCTCCCGGAACCAAATTTTCGGGGCGTGACCCGTGACACCATGCCAAACGGAACCTCTCGGGGCGGGTTTTCGAAGCCCCGACACCACGCCAAACGGAACCTCCCGGGGCGGGTTTTCGAAGGCCCGACACCATGCCAAACGGAACCTCCCGGGGCGGGTCTAGGGGGCCCGACACCATGCCAAACGGGATCTCCCGGAACCAAATTTTCGGGGCGTGACCCGTGACACCATGCCAAACGGAACCTCCCGGGGCGGGTTGTCGAAGCCCCGACACCATGCCAAACGGGACCTCCCGGGACCATTACTACCCAAAACTACAAAGGAACACTGGAAATCATTAACATACATCCAAAATCACACAAAAAAAAAAACATTGAAAATCACTAAAAATATACCCAAAATCGCTAAAAAACTATGGAAATCATTAAAATATCCCCCAAATCACAAAAAAAACATTGAAAATCACTAAAATATGCCCAAAACAACAAAAAAAACACTGAAAATCATTAAAATATGCCCGACGGACCCTGTCCGCGGCGGGGGGTCTCCCGTCGAGAATCTGGCCCCACCTGGACCCCCTCCTGGCTTGGCATTCACACCCCGGGAGAACTTTTTGCTTGGGACCCCCACTCGACAAGTCCTGGCCCAGAACTTACCAACGACCCCCACCTGGACCTCCTCCTGGCCTGGCATCCCCACCCTGGGAGAACTCTGTTCTTGGGACCCCCCACTCGACAATTCCTGCCCCAGAACCTACCTCCAGGCCTCTGGGCTCTGTTCTTGGGACACCCGACTCCACGATTCCCCTGCCAACATCGACAGATACCCCGCACCTGGCCCCCACCTGGCTCCCACCTGGCCACCACCTCCTTCCGACCCCCGACCCCGCGATTTCTCGCCCAAGAGCGACCAGCGCCCGCCTCCACGCCCCCCCTCACCCCCCCCCCACCCCACCTCGCCCCTGCATTCTCTCCCACGGAGCCTTTGTTTTTAAGGCCCACGACGCCACGATGTCTCGGCTTGGCTCTGGGCATTTGCGTGTGCAGGTCAGCCATTTGCGTTTGCAGCATGGCTCCAATGGCATTTGTGTCTGCAGCACCGCTCTCGGCATGTGTGTGCAGCCTGGGTCTGGGCATTCGTGGGCCGTCCGTTTAGCCGATCCACATGTTGAGGCTATCACGGTTCTCAATATTCGGCAGCATGCCTCTAATACTCTCTCCGCGACTGGGTTCACGACAACGACGAGCGTTCGTCGTTGCTCTTTTCGGAATCGGAGGCACCTATCCAGCCTTATGCTTTTTCGTTACCGACGCATGGGTCCGCTCGGCGACTTCCTTCCGTTTGCGCTCATGGCCAGCACAACATATGTTGCATCTCTGCTTCCCATTCGCCTTCTGCGTCGATCGCCCAGCCAACCAGTTGCTGTAGTGCTCCCTCCCGAAAGCGCCCTTACATTCTACACATTTCCACTTCCCTCGCTCCAGCTTTGCGCCATCGATGCAGCGCTTGCACTTGCGGTGCTGATCTCCCGCGCACTCCCACATCCAATTCGAAAAGTATTCACGCCGCTGCGCTACCTCGCACACCACGCAGGCCCTCGCGTCCTTCCTCGCATCTGCGTTCCGCTGTGCAGCCCCAGCGCTGACGCAGCGCATGCATTTGCGGTCGCGATCGGCCACTCCATTCCACATTTTTTGCGAGAAGAAATCACGCCGTTGCGCCACCTCGCACACAACACAGGCCTTCACGTCTTTCCTCGCCGCCGAGTCCCGTTGGGCGGCCGCATCCTGGACGCACTGGGTACATGCAATGGTCTCTTTGGAGGCGATGCACCACATGTGAGCGGAAAACTCCGCCTTACTCTTCGACTCCCCACAATTCGAGCATACCCTCTGTTTCCCTTCCTCGGCGCGCTGTCTTTCTTCCTCTCTCATTGATTTCTTACACGCTTTGCACTTCCGCTCCTCTGCGTTCCTCTCACTCCTCGCAAAATCGTCCACCAACTTCTCCACGCCGCAGCGGGAACACGTCAGGTGCTTCTTCAGCTCCTCGCACTCTTTGCACATCCCCCCTCTGCACCGGCTGTTCCCTGCAAGGTCCCACTGGTACGGCGCGAACGCTTCTTCGTACTTCCGACCCTCGCACACGCGGCAACTCCGTCTCTCGGGGCAGTCCACGCAACGCCGCGTGGTCAACTTCGACTGGTGGTGCTGTGACGCGTGGAACGCCTCCTGGCACTTCCATAGACCACACTCCATGCATTGCCACGGCGTGCCGGACCTCTTCTTATCTTCCAGGCACACGCTGCACACGCGGAGCCCATCTGCGCGGCTCCACTGCCCGACCGTTGGGTACATGTTCTTGTACTTCCTGCACCCGCAGACCGCGCACCTGCCAGACGGCATGAACTCCAGCTCTATCGCCTCCCAGTCCAAGTCTTCTCCGCGCAACGTGCGCAGCAACAAGCCTGGGCCCTTCCGTTCGTCCTTCTTCTGATACGGCGCAATGTCGAAGGGGCGAAAGATGAGCATGTCCTCGCGGCGCTGCACCCGCGTCAGTGCCACGTAGCTCGACAGAGGTGACGTGCCCCCGCCGATGCTCAGGTCCACTATGACACCCCCCTTAAAAGTTTGCCCCTGCGCCGCATGGGCCGTCACGCCGAAGGCTGGAGCCAGCGGGAACTGACGCCTTTTTCACCTTCAGCCGCGGGTGCGGACGACCTTTGTCCACGAACCACTCCTTCTTTTGCGGAGCCACCGGGTGCAAGCCAGGCGTCCTCAATCCCCCGGTCGTCCACTTGCACGGCTTCCGACCGCCCTTTCCGTCGTCGCCTTCGTCGAACAATACAAAAATCACTTTCGGGGTTTTCTTCAGAATGGTCTCACCCCCCCGCGTGACCTGATCGTGCTCTGCGTCCCCGTCGCAAACCCAAGACTGAACGCGGCCGACGCGACCGCGCAGGAGGTTCTTGTCCTCGCTGCGACCGATGTGATCAGTCAGAGCGACTGGCATGCCCTCTGCGATGGGCAAGAAGCCGTACAGGTCTCCGCTCTCCTTGTCGTGTCGTTGGAGCCATGTCATTTTCTGCTGCGGCAGATCTGGTCGCTCGCGGAGCGCCTCCGGCGTCGGCGTATCCCGCGCAAAGATGTACACCATCGGCTTCCCGTGCCTGCGCGCGTACTGCGACGCTCGGAGCTTGTTGGCTTCATACTTCACGTCGTTGTTCGGAAACACGCCCGGGGCAATGAGGAACTTCTCCGACTGCAAACGCGAGCCGTCCAGTTGCCAAAAGTCACCACTTCAGCACGACGTTCAAACCGCCGAACGGGCGCGGCACGCCTCCGTCTCCGCGCTTCGTGGTGCCCACATCCCGGATGACCCCTCGCAGTTTCGCGTCTACTTCTGCCAGGAGCCTGGCGCTCACCATGCTGATTTCGTCGATGAACAACCACCGCCACTGGGGCACGCGTTTAGCAGTCTCGTACTGCAACTTCACATCTTCCCCCTTCTCTTCTCCACGCTTGATAGCTGGTATGCCGCACGCATGGTGGATGGTGTCCCCTCCTAGCAACTGCGCCATGACGGCTTGCAGGGCGGTGATTTGAAAGTGCACCCCGATACTCCACTTCATCAACCCCTCGAACAGCTCGTGGCGAAGGATGCGCAACACGTGTGATTTGCCCGTTCCAGGGCCCCGTGCATGCACCACTGCAGAGGTTCCCCCATGGCCGTTTCATCCATTCCCTCGCCATCGATCTCCTGCATCACTCGGCGCGCCACCTTCTTCACCATCTCGAACTGCTTCGCGTTCACTGCGCGCCGCCCCGTGTCCTTGTCCACCCGGAACTCAAGGTCCCCGAGCCATCTCGCCACGTCTTCCGACGTGGCCGCCGCGCCCGCGACAACGACTCCTCCCCCGGCGTCTGCCACCCTGTCGGCCATCGAACGCTCTTTATTTCGAGACTTCCGCGCTTCTCGCAGCACCATCTCCAGGTCACAAGCCTGCTCTGCTGGCCACGAGCCTGTTACCTCGCTGAGCGGCGTTTCGCCGTCCCGAAGCCCCCGCGCCTGCTGCGCTACCGCCATGCCCCCTTTTGAATTGTCGTAGTGCGACGTGCCTCCAGCTCCCTGGCCGGCGTCTGCATCCTCCTCCCCGCTGGTGCTGTCTCCGTCCCCGTCCTTTCGTCGCTTCCCGCCCACGCGCGACTTCAGCGCCTCGTCGAGCTGCTCGAAGCCCACGTCTAATTCAACATCGCTCACGTCTTCGTCGCTCCGCTCTTCTTCTTCGTCAGCATCGCGTGGCCGGACGCGATGCACACTCAGGAAGTTCCCCACGTACCGCGCGGCCTCCTTCGTCTGCACTCCGCCATCCAGCCACGCCGCCATGGCTGCATCCCACGTCGACGCTTCGCCGCGCAGGTTCCCTGCGAACACCACGTGTTCGTCCGCCACGTCGGGCCTCAGAGTCCACGGGTGGAAGTACGTCATGACAATGCGCGCCGACCTCTCCGCTTCCCCTGGACGTCCGCGCGGCACGGGCGCTCCGAAAAAGGTTGGTGCCATGGGCCTTTTATTCCGCTTGAGAACCCACGTGTGGCGAATGTGGGCGCACCCTTCGGTGTCTGGATACGGAACCCAATCGTTGCCTCCGTCATCCTTCACCGCGTAGTCAACCCCGGGCACCAAATCCTCCTCCAGACACACGTCCCCTCGCCTCTCACGCAGTTTGTCCTTGCCCAACTGCGTCAAGACTGCATGATGGCGTGGGTGTTCTGCATCCGCGACTCGCGTCGGGTACGACAGCAACACCGGCGTCCAGTACGTTGCGAACTCATATGGGGATAAATGCCACACGTCGGACCTCTTCGGGCGCAGCCCATACAACATGCCCACATCTCGAACAGTCACCTTGCGGCGTCTCTTCTGCCGCATGTCCACCTCGGCAAATTGCGCTCTGCGACCTCCTGCCGCACGGTCTGCCAAGCGCTCGACCAAGTCAACGTACTCGCGGCCGTAAAAGGCTGTCGTCTCGCACGACTTCAATGACTCCGCAGCAGTCACGTCGCCCTCTCGCGCGAAGGCCCTCAGGTTTGCACATTCGACTTGTCCTCGCACAATGCCCTTCCCGTAAGCATCGCTCAGAATCCGGTTCGCTACCCGCTTACCGATCCGATTCACGTTCTCGCCCTGAATATGCCTGCCCAGCTTCTCGACTCCCTTGCAACACTCTTTCACCTCGTGGAAAGCCATGGGCTGCCGCTTCGTACAGTAGTCGCAGGCGTATCCTGCCTGTGCGTCTTGCGCCACCTGCGCAGCCCTGATGATCGCTGCATCGTCGAGCTTCCTGTCGCAAGCTTTCCGGCACGTGCAACAGACCCCTGTGATGGGGAACCGATACGGCAGCTGCACGTCCGAATTGAACCGCTGCGCAGACAACATGCACGGATGCGTGCCGTTCAGGCTTGCGTGATTCATCGGCCCGTGGAGGCTTCCAAATCGATTCCGACGCCCTGCCTTCGGCATGTCCAACGCCACCGCCTGCCCCGGACACACGACGATAGCGAGGCCTATGATTTGCGCCGTGCGCGGGAAATCCGATTTACACAACTTCGGGTTGTCCTTTCGACGGCACGCTGGCAAAGGTACTCGCTCCCCAGTCTCTTCGTTCTTCAGATGGACGTGGTTCTGCTTTCTTTCCTGTAAGTACTGTACGTCCTCGTCGAGATACGCTTTCTCCCATGCCACAGCGTCCTGCCGAGCCTGCGTCTGCAATGCTTCTGGATGCAGCGTGCGCGTCTGAAACGCGGGCCTGCCTAAGAGCCCATCCTCGACTTTAAACTCCGGCCACGCCTTCTCGGCCTCCTCCAGCCTCCGATCGATTTCCGTCGTCGACACCTGCTCTGAATAAACCTGCCGACAAACGCGGCTCTTATACTCCAAATACCCCTCCATGATCTTCTTCCCGCGGTCTTGCACGTCCTGACGGACGATTTCGAACACCTGCTCGAGCGGAGTGTGTTGGTGGAGGCACTGTATGAATACCTGGCAGTGCGCGTGCAGAGATCCCGAGGATTTCTGCGCTTCGATGGACACGTAGTAGGCATCAACGCGCCCGAAGGCGCCCCCGCCGGGCATCGCGTTACTTCCGAACAGGTCTTGACAAGGGATGCCATCCTGTGCGTGATTGCATCGCGGGAAGTTCGGGCAAGTCCGCAGACCGAAGAGGTGCCGGAGCGTCGCGTCCACTATGATGCGGAAGCAGTCGACGCTAGCCATGGGATCACGCGCGAGTAGGCGTCTACGCTCGGCCCACGACGGAACTCCTGCCCGTGCTGCATCCATCGGAAGACCGAGGCGAGCCTCGTCGACGTCGGGGGCTACGCGCGGCCACTCCCGATCCCCCGCCACTCGTGACTGCGCCTGATCTTCTGCTGCCGCGTGCACGGGGTCCTGTCTTCGCGTGCGCGACAGGCGGAGCATGAGCAGATTGTGGCCTTCGTCGGGCGAAAAAGTTACGAAGATTGGAACGCCATACCGGACTCGAAGAGCGTTGGTCTCAAACCGCATTACACGACGAGCTTCCTGTGTACCTGGCAAGCGCCGCGACGTGTGCTCAATGTGTGTGAGGAGCTTGTGTGCGGCTTTCCCCAGATTTGGCACGTGCCGAACTTTCGTCATGTCGCCCTTGACCTTCTGCTTTCTGCCGTTGATGTCCACGTACTTCATGTCTAGCGCGCGGTAAATCTGTTTGGAGCCTTCGCCGATCTGCTCAGGCGTCAGCTGTTCCACCTCGCCCGTGGCGCTCGGTGCCACGTACGTGAACCACGTCCTGCACAGGTTCACCGCCGAGCGGAACACGAGGTTCCACGACACGAACCCGAAATGCCAATCGCGACACAACTGGCTCTCGACGCGACGCTTCATAATCCGCACCCACAGTGGCAGCTCTACACGCGGCGCCCCATTCCCCCTGCGATGACGCGGACGCTTCATGAACTCAGGGCCATCTGGCATCCCCGTGCAGTACTTGAACAAAAACGCGAACGCGACGCCAAAGTACCAGGGCTCGAACTGATCCATCATAACGTTTCCCGTGCGCACGCGAAGGCGGTCCACGCGCTTCCCCTCGGTCGTCGCCTGCTCCAGTTTGACGCGCTCCGCCGCCTCCCGCGACGTCTGCTCCGCCCCCGGGCCCGCCCCTTCGCGGACGCGAACGCGTTTACGCGCCCGTTCCGTCGTCCCGTCGCCGCCCTCTTCTTCGCTGGAATCCGACGCCCCGTTCGCATCGCCGTGCGCGCACTCCTCATCCAGCCGTTGCACGAAGGTTCGCACGGCCTCGATCCGCTGCGCATTGATATCTCCCTCGTCGAAGCTGCTCTTCTCACATACCACGGCGTTCGTCTTCGCGCTCTCCAAAATATCTGCCGCCCCCCTTACTCCGTCGGGCCTCGGAACGGGCGTCGCGGCCTTCTGCATCTGGATCTTGTCCAGGGCATCATCCAGGGGTACCAGGCGCATGATCTCTGGGGGCACGCCTTCCTCTGGCAGTTCCATTGCCCTCTTCCGAACATCCTCCATGTCCACGTGTCGGTACGCGCGATGCCCCCGCGCTTTCGCTCCCTGAATCAGATCCACGACCACCTTCCTACGCACCAACGCCTGGTGCACGAACTTGGCCATGCTTGCAGCCGTATCGTAGTCGCCGCCAGACTTCAGCATCACAGACACGATCCCAGCCAGCTCCGCACCTGTGCGCGGCACCGGCGGCGCGCGCCTCTCCGCGGCAGTTGCGTCCGCTGCGCTCAACTGTGCTACCAGATCCGCCCACGGCATCGGGAACGAAGTGGCGTTTCCGCGCGCGGCCATGCGGACCTCGTTGCCGCCCGCTTCCATGTCGAAATCCCGATCCTTCCGGTACCGCTTCTCCAGCGTAAAACACACCATCGACGTTATGCACACTGACGCGCAAATCATTTCCAATACCGTCACCTTGGCGCCGAACACCTCTTCTGGCGAATAAAAGGCCATCATGTCATTGGCCAGCGACGCAGGAGGGAGCGCCGCTTCGCCATGGGGCCCGGCCATCGCGTTCCCGCACTCCCCGCACAAAGGGGCTTCACAACCGGTGCATGCACTATTCACGGCGTGCGTCGTGCCGCTGTGGCACCGCATGTCCTCCGGGCAACAGAGCACCTTCATGGGCCCGTCTCCTGATGGCACGCACACGTGCCAATCCTCGAACTCGTCCATGCGGTCTCGAAGGTGCACGCCACTGCTCCCCTCCCCAGCGCCATCTACTTCGCCGAACCGCTCCAGGTACGATTGTCCACTTCAGCAACCCCTCGAACAACTCCTGTCGAATGACGCTGAGAACGTGCGACTTGCCTGTCCCCGGGCCGCCGTGCATGCACCAACGCAGAGGCTCCTCCATGTCCGCGTCCTCTCCCGCCTGCCCGTCTATCTCTTGCATCACTCGGAGCGCCACCTTTTCAACCATCTCGAACTGTTTCGCATTCACGACGCGCCGACCCGTGCGCTTGTTGATTCGGAATTCGAGTTCTCGAACCCACTTCGCAACGTCTTCAGAAGTTGCCCCAGCCTCTGTAACGACGCGCCCGGGATCTTCTGCCGCTGCAATTCTGCCCGCCATCGACCTCTCCTTGTTCCGAGACTTCCGCGCCGTTCCAATACCTGATCCACATCACAGCGTTCTTCTCTCGACCACGTGCCTGAGACCTCGCTGAGCGGCGTCTCGCCATCGCGCAGCCCCATGCATGCTGGGCTACCGACATGCCTCCTTTGGAGTTGTCGTAGTGCGAGGTGCCTGACACGACCCCGTCCGCTGCCGCGCCGTCTTCCCCGCTGCTGCTGTCTCCGTCACCGTCTTTCCGCTTCCTCCCGCCGACGCGCGATCTCAGCGCCTCGTCCAGCTGATCGAAGCCCACGTCCAAGTCCTCGTCGCTCACGTCTTCGTCGCTCCTTTCTCCCACATCTTCCGCATCCCGCGGCCGCGCGCGGCACGCGCTGAGGAAATTGCCGACGTACCGCGCAGCCTTTTGAGTCTGAAAGCCGCCGCCCAACCACGTGACCATGGCGCCGTCCCATGTCGGCGCCTCTCCTCGTTGATTCCCTGCGAATACAGCGTGATCGTCCGCCTCGCTGGGCCTCAGCGTCCATGGGTGGAAGTACGACATGACTATTCGCGCCGACCGCTCCGCCTCTCCATGTCGCCCGCGCGGCACGGGGGCCCCGAAGAACGTAGATGCTGCGGGTCTCTTCTTGCGCTTCAAAACCCATGTGTGTCGGAAATGAGCACACCCCTCATTGTCTGGAAGCGGAACCCAATCCACTCCTCCATCCTCCTTGACGACATAGTCCTCCCCCGCATGGAGCTCCTCCTCTGGCTTTCTGCTCCTGCAATTTTGCTTCATTTTCTCCTTTCCACTCTCCGTTAAGACTGCGTGGTGCCGCGGATGCGATGCATCCTCCAACTTCGTCGCGTACGATAGTAGAATGGGTGTCCAATATGTGGCAAACTCATACGGCGACAGGTGCCACAGTTCGTCATCCTTCGGGCGTGAACCGTACAACATGGCAACGTCTCTGAGGGTCACTTTCCGGCGTCTCCTGTTTCTCATGTCCACTTCGGCGAACTGGGCCTTCCGTCCGTTGGCGGCGCCGTCTGCCAGGCGTTCGACCATTTCCACATACTCCCGCCCGTAGAAGGCTGTTGTTGGACATGATTTCAACGCCTCCGCCGCAGTCACGTCGTCCCCCCTGGAGAACGCCCGAAGGTTCGCACACTCCACCTGTCCTCGCACAATGCCTTTCCCGTACGCGTCGCCCATTATGCGGCTCGAGATTCGCTGACCGATGCGATTCACACTTTCACCTTGCAGCTGTCGGCCGAGCTTCTCGAAGCCTGTGCAACACTCCCTCACCTCGTGAAAAGCCATAGGCTGCCGCTTCGTGCAATAGTCGCAAGCGTACCCCGCCTGGGCGTCCTGCGCCATCTGTACGACCTTGATGATGGCGGCGTCTGCTTGCTTCTTGTCGCACGCTTTCCCACACGTGCAACAGGCCTCCATGATTGGGAACCTATACGGAAGCTGCACGTCCGAATTAAAGCGCTGCGCGGACAACATGCACGGGTGAGTCCCATTGAGACTCTCCTGATTCATCGGCTCATGTAAGCTGCCTGTCCGATTTCGTCTGCCCGGCTTGGGCATGTCTAACGCCGACGCAAGCCCCGGACAGACGACAACGGCTCGGTCTACAAGCTGCGACGTGCGCGGATAATCGGCTTTGCATAACTTGGGATTGTCCTTTCGACGGCACGCAGGCAAAGGTACACGCTCTCCTGTCTCATCGTTTCTCAAATGCACGTGGTGCTGCTTTCGCTCCTGGAGGTATTGGACGTCTTCGTCCAAGTACGCTCTTTCCCAAGCCGACGCGTCCTGCACAACTTCTGCCAAAGTTGCGTCTGGACCAACAACGCGTGTCTGAAACGCCGGCCTGCATACCAACCCGACCTCGTTTTTAAACACTGGCCAAGCCTTCTCCGCTTCCTCCAGACTATTACAGAGCTCCTGTTCCGCAATTCGCTCTGAATAGACCTGCCGACACACTCGGCTTTTATATTCCAGGTAGTCCTCCACCAGCTTCTTCCCCTGGCCTTCTATATTTGCCCGCACAAGCTCGAACGCTTTGTCCAGCGGAGTGTGCTGATGCAAGCACTGCACGAAAACCTGACAGTGAGCGTGGAGGGCGCCAGTCGACGTCTGGGCTTCGATCGACACGTAGCAAGCATCGACGCGCCCGAATACATCACCTTCTGGAGCAATACTACTCCCGAACAGATCTTGGCACGGAGTCCCATCTTCCGCTTGGTTGCATCGCGGACAGTTGGGGCACGTCCGCACCCCGAACAGGTGACGGAGCGCGGCGTCCACTATGACGCGGAAACCTCCCACGCTCGCCATGGGGTCACGGGCGGTAATTCTCCGGCGCTCGCCCCACGAAGGTATTCCAGCGAAAACGGCTTCCACTGGGATTTCCACGCGCACGTCCTCGGATGAAGGCGCATCGCGCGGCCACTGCCGCCCGCCCGCTTGCCGCGACAATGCCTTGTTCTCTGCCGCTAGATGAACCGGGTCGCGGCGCCGAGTGCGTGACAACCGGACCATCAAGAGGTTGTGTCCTTCGTCCGGCGAAAATGTTACAAAAATGGGCACGCCGTACCGCGCGCGCAGCGCGTTTGTCTCAAATCGCATCACCCGACGCGCCTCCTGCGTTCCCGCGACACGCCGCGACGTGTGCTCTATGTTCGTCAGGAGTTTGTGGGCGGCTTTCTCGCAGGCCTGGCACGTGCCGCACCTTGGTCATGTCTCCCATAACTTTTTGCTTTCTATTGTTCATGTCTACGTACATGCCTCCCAGAGCGCGATCGATTTCCTTTGCCCCTTCGCCGATTTGCTCGGGGGTCTACTGGTCCACGGCTTCCGGACTTGCAGAAACGTATGTAAACCACGTTATGCTCAAATTCACCGCCGACCGAAACACGAGATTCCATGACACGAACCCGAAGTGCCAGTCGCGAGAGAGTTGGCTCTCGACGCGACGACTCATCACGCGCACCCACAGAGGAAGCTCCACGCGCGGTGCTTCTCGATCGCGCCGATAGCGTGGACGCCTCATGAACTCTGGCATGTCCGGCATCCCCGTGCAATACTTGAACATGAACGCGAACGCAACACCGAAGTACCAAGGCTCGAACTGATCCATCATGGTGTTCCCCGTGCGCACACGCAGTCGGTCCACGCGTTTGCCTTCTCGCATCGCACCTTCTGCCATGTGCGTTTCCGCTCCCTCTCGCGACGACGTCCTCACGCCTGCGCCCTCTGGTTCACGTACACGGGCGCGCTTCTCCGCGTGTTCCTCACAACCCGCATTATCGCCGCTGTCGCTCGATGCATTATCTGCTCCATCATGGACGCAGTCTTCGTCCAGTCGTTGAACGAAGCTACGCAGAGCTTCGATTCGCTGCGAGTTTATATCACCCTCGTCAAAACTACTCTTTTCCACCACCACGGCGTTCCCCTTGGTGCTGTCCAAAATGTCCGCCGCCTCCTGAAGTCCGTCGGGTCTAGGCACTGGCGTCGCTGCCTTTTGCATTTGGATCTTCTCCAACGCGTCATCCAGCGGCGCCAGGCGCATGATCTCCGCTGGAACGTCGTTCTCAGGAAGCTCCAAGGCTTTCCGCCGGACTGCGTCCATGCAAACATTCCGGTGCGCTCGGTGTCCGCGAGATTTCGCTCCTTGAATGAGAGCCACGACCACGTGCCTGCGAACGAGAGCCTGGTGCACAAACTTGGCCATGCTTGCGGCCGTATCATCGTCGCCCCCAGACTTCATAATCACAGACACTATTCCAGCCAGCTCGGCGCCCGTGTGAGGCACCGACGGCGGCTTCCGCTCTGCAGCCAAGTCTTCCGCTGCGCTCAACTGCGCCAACATGTCCGTCCAAGGCATCGGGAACGACGTCGCGTTTCCACGCGCGGCCATGCGGATCATGTTATTCCCCGTTTCCATGTCGAAAGTTCGCTCGCTCCGGCATCGCTTCTCGAGTGTGAAACATACCATGGAGGTGACGCACACGGAGGCGCAGATCATTTCTAGAACCGTCACACTCCCACAGAAAAGCTCCTCTGGATAATAGAAAGTCATCGAATCATTCGCGAGCGCCGCGGGAGGCAAGAGAGGTCCCCCACTCGGCCCCTGCGTGCCGCTCCGGCATTCCCAACACAAAAGAGCTTCACAACGAGAACACGTTTGGTTCTCGGAGTGCCTAATGCCGCTTGCGCATCGCAAATCCTCGGGGCAACACAACACTTTCACTGGGCCGTCACCTGAAAGCACCGACACATGCCAGTCGTCGAACTCTTCTGGCCGATCTCGCAGATGCACGCCGCAACTCTCCTCGCTGTCGCAGCTGACCTCGCCGAACCGCTCCACGCACGCGTCCACGGACATGTGTATCCTCACGAAATCGCTTGGGAGACCGAAGAAATCGCCCCCGTTGAACAAAACTTTCTGCCACTGGATAGCATCCCCCTTCTGCCCCTCGACGAATGGAAACTTCCGCGCACAGACCATGAAGATCAGACTGCTCACAGCGTCTTCGCCCAGCCCGCGCGCGTAGTCATCAAGACATGGCCGATCGATCGCCAACGCCGCGAGAGGCGCTCCTTTTCGAATCTTCCAGGCGATAGCCTCGTTGTACACAGACCAATACTTGATATCCTTCTGCGTCGCATCTTCCGTCGAAGTGCACGCCGGCGCTGCCGCAACCGGGGCCAGCACTGCTGCGTGGTTTCCAACCGCATGCGCTCGACATTCCGCCTCTGCAGCCCCTTGCCAAGGGCACCCATCGAATGCGCAATGTTTCTTCGGCAGAACCACTGCCCCGTGCGACCGGATGCTTCCGTTAACCAGCGATGCGCCATTCGCTGAGAATGCGGAGACCGTGGGCTGATATTTGATTGAATTTGCGATCGCTTCCAGACCGACTTCCCTTGCCCCGCGCAACCTGTCGGCAGATGCACGACTGTCAACGGCTCGGACGCGATAAACATGAGATGCTCCTGCATTCTGTTCTGCTGCATCTGCCACCCCGTTGTCCTGCGTCTGCCCTTCCCCGCTGCGCTTCGCACTGCACGCGTCCTTCGTGTTCTTCCTATCGCCGCCGATCGCTCCGTCACAACGTGGTTTGATCCTCCCGCTCGTGCGGTCTGACAGCTGCGACTCCGACTCGAAACCCCGGATGGCCCCCCCGCGCTCTCTACTCGGCCGCGATGCCGGATGCGGCGCTGGAGGAAGAACTCCCGACAGCTCCCTTGGGCGCTCTACACCGTCGGCGCCACCTTCGAGCCTTCGCCTTTCCAACTCGGCGCCTCTCCCGGCCACGGCGTCGCAAGGCGGCGCGCTCTCCCCTGTCGCGCGGGCGCGAGTCGCCGTCGCGAGCGCATCCGGCTTTTGCCTCCACGCAATGTCACCGCCCACTGCGCCGGCAACGCTTTCCTGTCTCTTCTCGCCCCCTGTGCCGGGTCGCCCATTCTCAGGAAACATGGACAAAGGAGCGGGACCCGCGCTCTTCTGTTCATCTCCCTCGACGCAGCTGCTGTGAACTGTTGCACTGGATTGCCACGCTGGTTTGTACGACGTGCTGGCGATCTCCGATCCTGTCTCGCTGTGCACTTCCAGCGCCACCGCAGGGGCCCAGTCACCCCCGACTTCGCACTCGGGCCCTCGACCCAGCGCGAGGCTTGAGCCTTGCAAGTCTGTTCGAGTGAAACGCATCTCCACGCCCAGTTGATTTTCTATCAGCCCATCGAAACGCGAATATACGCGCACGACCACGTCTTCCGACGGCGCCCCCCCTCCACGCCGTACCTCTGCAAAACAAATATCATAGTCTCTCCTGCGTGCACAGCGTGCCGTAGTTCCCCGCCATGTGAACGCAGGTCCAGCCACGCATCCCCAGTATCGCTCAAGTGACGCACGCACGCTTCGCACGCAGCACGACGCCCTTCCTGGCTGGCGAGGATCTCGTTGCACAGTCCCGCCCGCGCAAACAATTGGAAAAGGCTGTCCGCCAAGCTGGCGCCTGCGCCGTGTCCGTGCCCCTGGCCCACACGTCGCCCTATCTGTGCAAGCTCCCAGAGTCGCCTCGCATCTGATTTGGCTTCAAATACCAACGACTTCTCGAATAATAACATGAAAAGCACCATTTCCTCTTCCAAAACTCGGTGCCTGTCGACGCCTTCCAGCGCGTCGCACAGAACTTCCTGTGCTCGGCGCCGCCCCGCCCACTCCTGCACCCACTCTTCCTTGAGCACACGCGTCGCTGGCTCGGCGTCTCCCCGCGCGTCCTTCAAGTGGCCGAGCAGCTCCGCCGGCGCGAAACCCGCGCCCGCAAGAGTCCACGATTCTGTCGGCGTCCATTGATTGTGCAAAATTCTCAACGCACGGAAGTCGGCTTCTCGGAGCACGCGCACGGGAGCGAAGAGATCCCCAGGCAACATGCGCACCGCTGGCGGACGACCTGGCCGAGCACCGACGGCTTCCATGGCCGAGTCCCTTCGTCGCGCTCCCGTTCCCTGCAGCGACTCCACTGCGCAATCATTCCATGAATCGTTCAGCAAGCCTCCAGCATGTTGATCTGCACTGGCGCCGCCCAGTCCTCCTCCCCCGATAGACGCCAATGCGTTCGCGCCGCTGGACTCGCTCGCTCGAACCACGCCCACTGGCGCACTGTCACATGCCGTGGCGGTTTCTTCGCGAACGTACATCAAAAAGTGCACTGTGGAATCCTCGCGCGTCTTCCAACCTTGCACGTGGGACGGCGGAGCGCTCGATCTCACGGAGCAGCCATCGCGCATCTCCCACCGCGCGCCTGTGGCCCCCGCGCGCAGACAGCAAGCGTTATAATGCCCGCCATGAAATCCTTCTCCGTGGTGAAACACGCAACTCACAAGCTTGAACTTCTGACCGCTGACGACCAAGGACTCGCAAGGACGAAGCATGTGTCGAATCTTCTTAACTCTCCTCGTCACGGCGTCGCACGTTTGCGCGAGCAGCTGCACCCATAAACACGGAGGAGTCTTTGTAATACACCAGTATTTCGTGGCCTCTGCGCAGCCGCACTCCTTCGGGCACTCCCACCTGAATTCCGACACCATGTGATCACCCCTCGAACTCTCGCCGACGACGTCTTGAACTGTTAGGATGTCTTTGCAGCGGCTCTTCGGGATATGCAGTTTCAAACACGTGAGCTCGGTGTCCCCCCTGACTTTCCGGACGCCGCCGCAGCAGGGCCGCGCGCGCACGAGTCGCTCCACCTTCTCCATGCGGAACACTTGACACACGTCGCGCGCGCGTTCCACTTGCAAAAGCTCTTGCAAGAATTCATCTGCGTCCTCCTGGCATCGGTTGTAGAATACGCGCGGGATGGCTTCCAACTTTATAGGCCGCGTCGAACTACCGAGTTCCATTTCTACCAAGGTCTGAGCCAGCAGACCGTCAAAATCCGGCTCCCCCCCCGCTCGTTGCGCCGCGTCCCCTCTCTCTGCGAAAGACCGCCCGCCCCATTCGGCCGGGCTTCTCTGCCGCGCGACGCGCGCCGCGGCTCGCACGCTGGGGATCGCGAAGAGCGCTTGCGCAGAGGCATTCATGAAACAATAGTACCGTGGGTTCTGAGGGCCCGGCAGCGCCAGACACTCTCCGCCCTCGCGCGCGCTGCGCGCGAAATCGCCACCACGCCGCTCGTTCACCGATCCGACAGAGGGCCCTGCGAGCACACTATTGTTCTTGCCCTCGGCCACGCGAGCGCCTGCAGCGGACCGCATCCACGGGGCGGACCTCTCAAGCAAAGCCACGCCGCGCAGCGCGCTCCACCCTCGGGCAACGCGAATGACGTGCCCTGACATGCACCAGACAACCGCTCCCACGCAGACTCCAACGGCGTCTCCCAGCGCCCACCTCTCGCTTTGCGCCACCTGCATGAAGTCAATTGTGTCTTCCGTCGCGTGCACCCACACGAACGTTTTCCGTCGTCTCAACCAAGTTTCCACAGCCACCACGTTCTGCCTCGACTCTGGACCGTCGCCAGTTTCACCCGAGAACGCATCATTCGCGCACTCCCGCTCGAAACATCGCAGGGCGTCTCTGCGCCACCGCCCGCGCCGAATCTTCGCTACTGCAACTTGACGGCACTTGTTCGACCACGCCCCCAAGGCACCCCCGTCGCATGCCAGAACGGCTACCGCGATCGGCGCAACGCTGGGCACGTAAGCCGACTGCGCACTTGCAACGAGTAGCGCGCCTTGGCGCACTGCGCGCTCCTCCGCATAAGCAACAGACGTAACATAATCTGCAACCGTCGCGCGGCCTCCGCTCAACGCGTCGGCTCCGCCTCGCCCCCGACGCGACTTTCGATTGACGCCGACCCCTGGCGAATGGCGCGCAGAAGCAACGCGCGCGCGCCCTGCGCGACGCGCCTTCCCCAAGTCTCGCAGACGACGCACGCCCGCGCATTCGACGCCAACCTGCGCCCTCGAGCGCGGCGCCAATGATCGAGCCGCGACAGCGGTTGCGAAAGAAGGCGGCGCAGGCGGCACTCGACGGTGCAACTTCGACGACGCTCTCCGACCGCAGACATGTCCCTGGCGGCACGTGCCGCGCGGAAAATCCCGACGGAACATCCGCGAAAGGTTCCGCCTTCCATCGTGCAACAGACTCTCTTGGGAAACCAATTGCGATAGTTTCTCCCGCTGGAACCGCGACCCCACATGCGCCCGACGCCGGCGAATCCCGGTTGTCTCGCCCGCGTCTCGCAAGCGACGCGCGCCCATCGTCTGCAAGCCTCGCTGCACCCTTGATTCCGTTTCACAACGCACTCGGGAGACTGTCCACATTCTATCATTGTGGGACCGAGCCTGGGGGACAATTTGCGAGAGTTTTGTCTTTTTGTCCTCCAAAGGAGGCGCGTGCATACAAATCCGCGTTAGTTTCCCTCTTCTATCGTGCATAGGGAAGGTTGTGTGAGAAAGCCGCGAGAATGTCGCCCTTCTCTCGAGCGCAGGGCGCCCCGCGAGAAAAATTCGCTATAATTTCCCCTTTTCATCGGTCAGAACTCGCACCTGTGAGGCAAATCGCGACAGCCTGTCCTTTTTGTCGTTCGGGGAGCGCGCTCGGGCGAAACATCGCGGTCGTTCGCCCCTTCTATCGTTCAGAGAGCGCGCCCTGGAGAGGAATCGCGACGGTCCCCACATCCTATTGTCTGGAGGACGCGCTCGTGGACTGGTTCTCGAGGGCGTCCCTCTTCTATCTTTCAGCGGGCGAGCCGGGAAACAACTGTTCGATAATTCCCCCCTCTATCATCCGGACCGTCCACGGGGCGCGCTTTTGTCAAACATCGCGATAATATCCCCCTTCTACCGTTCGGAAAACGAGAATGCAATTTTCCAGAAAACAGCGCTCCGTCACATATGATTCGTGGATGTTTGCAGTGACGCAGGGAAGACCCGGGTGACTCCGCCACGACACACCCCTCCCGGGGGGCCGGCTTCGTGGACGCCGGCGCTCCATGCAGCATTGGCACAGGACCCGCGAAAGGCCCCATACCAACGCACCCCTTTCGGGGGACCCGCTTATGGACGCCGGCGCTCCCTTCGAGATTCTGGCTCTCGGAAAGCCCTTCGGGGTTGTGGCCCCCGGATGGCCCTTTGGGATTATGGCTCCCAGACGGCCCTTTGGGATTATGGCTCCCAGACGGCCTTTTGTTCACGCGAAGCGCCATCCCCAGCTTTCGGGAGGTGCCGTTCGAGCCCACCCCACCGAAGGGCTTGAGCTTCGTCACGCGCAACCCCCGTTCTGCCAGGGATGGGCCTCCTTGCCCAGCCCCCGCCCCGCCGGCCCTTCGGGAAGGCCGCGCGGAGAGGGGCCTAGTTGCAGCCCTCAAGGCTTGAGCCTGGGAGCGCGCGGCGACGCCCGCGCAGACGCGCGCAACTCCTCCTGCTGCCCCCTCTGTCATCCGAATTGCCCCCCCGCCTCTCTCCATCGTCGTCATTATCATTATTATTATATTGTTCGTCGTCCTCGTTCCTGCCGTTCCTCATCGCGTGCCTCCTGATGTTCCGCTTCGTCCTCGTTGTCGTTCTCCCCCTCGTCCGCCTCCCCATTCTCGAACTCCTCCGTCCTCCTTGGATTTCCTCATTTGCGCAATTCCTCCTCCTCCTCCTCGCCCTCGGAATTCCGCCCATCCTTGAGCCCCGATCCTCATTCCTCCAATTTCCTTCATATTTGATTCGGTTCCTTCATCCTCTTCCTCTTCCCCCTCCTCGATACTCCTCTTCCTCCTCTCGACCTCCTCGGACAGCCTCGTCGTCGTCATCCTCGTCCCCGAAACTTCTCGTCGTAGTCGTCCTCCTCGTCCTCTTCCTCATCCTACTCTTCGCACCTTTTGCCCCTGCCTCTTCTTCTCCTCGAGACGCCAAAATATGCCTTCACAAGACTGCCAATATAGCCGAATATGGCCCGAATATGACGAAAGATGGCCCGAAGACGGTCCCAAAGAGCTTCAGATAGCCACCTCCGAGAGATCCCTCATCACATTTCCTCCCTCTCCTGATTTCCAAGTGTCCCCCGATGTGTTTCCAGAACGGCTGGAAGACCCACGCGCCAATAGCTTGGCCAAACTCTGCCCCAACGTTTGGTCACATAAGCGTTTTCACGTCGTCGTCGTGGTCTTCGTCGTCGTTGTCGCCCTCATCGTCGCCGTCCTCCTCGTACTCCTCGTCGTCGTCGTCGTCGCTGTCGTCGGGGGGGCGGGGAGTGGGGGTGACTTGAACACGTTTCTCCCATTCTCGCTGAAGCCCAGAACGCTCTCCAAGATGGCTCAACAGGGGAGACCTGACCACCTTTGTCCGCCCCGCGGCGAGGAGAACATGACCACGTTGTTCCAACCTCCAGCCAGGGCCGGAGCAATGAGGAAAGGGAGCCGGATAGCCTGGGAAGAGGAGGGGAGGTGGTCCGCACCACGTTTTCTCTACCCCAGAGAAGAGACGGGGGAAAGCGACTTGACCATTTTTCCCCCATTCTCGCTGATGCCCAGGACGATCTCCAAGATGGCTCAACAGGGGGAACTTGATTCCATTATCCCAACTCACGGCGAGGGGGAATTGACCACGTCTTTCCGATTCCAGCCAGGGCCGAAGCAGCGAGGAGAGGCAGTGGCCTAGTTCGGGAGGGGGGGCGGGGGGGAGAGCGTGGCCACGTTTAGGATTTGACCACGATTCTCCGATTCTCGCTGAAGCCCAAGATGGCTCCATTGGTGCATGGGAGAAATCCCGCAACGCATTGCGGCGCCTGTCTCAACAGTGGTCAGGCCAAGTAAGGAACCTTGCAACGCACTCGGGCGTCTCCGCCAAAAGTACTCTCTACAAAAAATAGCCGCAACCATCAACGATGAGTCACCTTGGGAGCACGGTTGGCCCCGCACGAATGCTTACCGGGCCGCTCGCAAAGGTATACCTGTAAAAAAACAAGTGCGTCACCGAAACGGATACCCCAGGAGCTACGTTTGCCCCGCGCAAGGCGCCCTCCGATCGCGTAGACTCGAGTCAAACAGCGCGGCGCGTTTCCAAAGGCGTGCGAGATTGCATTCAGCGAAAGGGACTTGTGCCTCTATCTTCTCCTCCTCCTTCCTACCCCTCCCCCCCATCATCCTTCTGGCCTTATCCCTGTTTCTCCTGTCAGCCCTTCACTTTCTCCAACAGCTCCGTCTGGCAGAATCCAGGACGCACGGCCCGCGATCAGCGCTCGCTTGCGCTTGCATCAATTCTCCCCTCTCTCGGGAAACACCGGAGCAAAATAGCAGGGAGTTACATGTCGCTGAGTCTACCGCAGAACACCGTGACCCTCCCCTTTAAACGGATGCACAGGGAGGTTGCCCCGGGAGCAACGTTGGCTCCGCACGAGGTTCACCCTACTACAGGAGTAGCAAGCGAGCATTCAAAAGGCATCAACTAGTGAGGATCTTCCACAACATCGTCGTCGACCACAGCCGTCGACGTCCGCAGTGAACGATCGGCGTTGGCAAATGCTCGCTGTCCTGTGAACAGCACCTCAGTCAACCGGTCGGCGAAGAGACGCTGTCGTTTGGTACTCCCCCCCTTGCCGCGAATGGCAGACAGCGCGGCCACTGCGTTCGCAGCTTCAGCGCCATTTGCAATTCCCGCTGCTCTCGAATTCATCTGGATCCTGTACGCGTCCGCTTGCTGCGCGTTCGCGACGTGCTCCGCCTTTCGGGACAAGAAATGTAAGGATCCCATGCTCCCCCCCCCCCACCCGGCACTCCTCGGGCGAGCCATTGGAGGCCCGATTGCCTCGTAATACTAACATCAGCATCGGTGGTTTTTCAACCCGTTCCCCCATGGAACCTCCGAAGCCCTGGACACGTCGCCCAAGAGGCCCAGACGTCGAACGAATTCTGGCTCTGCTTCAGCGGGAAGTTCGGAAACGCGAATCGTCGCCAAGCGTCTGCGGGCAAACCAGGATGGAGCGCCGCGCCTTGCATCACAAAAAGGGATTTCCAAGAAAAACCTGCGGAACCCCATCAAGCCCATTTTCCTGCACCGGCGACCCTCTTCCTTGTTCCTTGCCTCCTTGTTATTTGCATCACTGTGCGCCGCAAACGCCAATAGTCACAGAGCGTCCCAAGCGCGTTCAATGCGGATGATGACGGGAATGAGTAGAGGTGCCGATATTATGATGGCACCCGCATACGACGCGGGAGTGGGTGAGGAATGTGCATGTATGACCATGCGTGCGTGCGCGCACACACACACACGCACACGTGCGCGGTGCTTCTGCGCGTGCCGCGCGCCTAGTGAATATAGATGAGAGGATGGGGCGCGCCGACTGCGCGGGTCGAGCTGGAACAAAAAGTGATCCATGAGAACGCAGGTGGTTCGGCCACATCAGAAGACCGAACTTGGCGCCCACGGCCGCAAAAAAAAAAAACGCGACGAGGAAATGCGAGACGACCATGCAGCGAAGTATGCCCGCTAGATCGCCACAGTCTAAGGCCCCCACACATGCTCTGCGAGGTCACCCAACGTCTCGAACACACGGTCCTTTGCTGCGCTGCGTTTGGTGAGCGTGATGCCCGGCTGGGTCTTCAATTTGAAGGTAGCGGCGATCGTCATGGCCATGCGAATCGAGTTACAGATGGCACTGTAAAGAGTGCACGGGACATCTGGATAAGCTCTTCAATCTCTCGAGCCAGCGCGGCAAACCTAATATCGAATCACGCGCTCTCATCGACCACTCGGGCCGATGCCCGTCCCAGTTCTTCCCGCGTTTCACCGTTGACTCGGGCGTATGCAGTTTAAAAGAACGGCACCTGGGATTTGTGATTGTCATCGTCGTCGTCGTCCTTGTCCTCGTCCGTGTCTCTCGTCGTCGTCGTCATCTCGTCGTCGCCGTCGCCGTCGCCGTCGCCGTCGCCACCGCAGTCGGCGTCGGCGTCGCTTGATGCGCCCACCGTCCCATTCGTCTTAGTGCCTCCTCGGCGCTCTCTCCTGGCCGTCTTGGCGCGGCGGATGCGTTTCGGCCAGGACGTGGGCGGCGGCGCCGGAAGGCGCCAACAAGTGTGCTCGCACTACCGCGACGTGACGACTGGCATAGGTCCGATTCAAATGACCAACTTCTGCGCCCAACTCCGATTGCAGCATGTCGACTTCCTCCCGGCGTCGCCCGGGATTCCAAAAACCTGCGGCGACAACCTGGCAACTTCAGCGACTGTGCAAAGCAAGCCGACGACAAAGCGAGCTCACCCCAGGGGCACTGTTTACCCCGCGCGAGGTCCACCCGACCGCTCGTTGAGATCCGCCTAATCAAATATCTTCCAACTCAAAAAAACAAAGCATCGGGGACGCCTCCCAAGACGCACGCATATTTAAACTGAACAACCATCTTGAGGCCAACACGGCCAATATGATACACAGGGATATCATCCGGAGCCCCGCAAGGCGATCATTTCCAACGCCTGCCTGCGACTGCCGACTTTCTCCCTCCCCCCGGAAACCTCCGAGGAATAGCCGGCGCACGGCGACGCCATCGCGAACGATATAACTGCGCATAGCACACGGGGGAGTGGCCAAGACATCGAAAGGGCACCCTGGCCCTCGCACAGGGGCCACCCGACGGCGAGCGCAAATTTCGGCCAGGAAGCACGGCAGGGCGACGAGAGAACCGCACGACTGCCACCTGCGAGCCCGACCTCCGCACCTCTGTCTCCGCTTTCATCAGTCATGGATTCCCTCCGTCTCCGTCGAAGTGTTCTGTCACTCTCGAGGCCCGCCTCGCAGCAACCACAACCTTACAAGCTCAATCCAAAACGCTTGCGATTGGTGCAACATTGGCGCCTGAGCGGCCCGTAGTCTTGTAGCACTACTCTGCAACAATTGATCACGGGGAAGATGCTGACGTATCGAACGCGCACTGTAATCAGGAACGGCGGCGCTGCACGCACTCCGGAGGCATTGTTGGCCCCGCGCGAAGCACGCGAGACTGTTCACAAACAATTGCACGTTCAGCAGCGGCTGTCTCGACTACAAACGAAACGCCACCCTCTGAGTCCGCCCAGTCCCCTTGCCCTCTTCAACCTCGCCCCCCTCTCCGCGCCTCTCCTCGCCATCTGGCTCCTGCTTTTCCATATACTTTTGCTGTCGCTTCTTGTTCATTCTGATCCTCCCTTCCATATCCCTCCTCTACACCGTCAAATTGTTCTCCCGAAGCGCGTTCTTGGAAGCGCGGCTTTTCCTGTGTCGGCGGCGGCTCGAACCGCGCGCAAAGGGGCAATTGTCTCCATTGCGGCAGGTACCCCTGCGATCGTAAGAGCACCAGCGCACGCGAAGATGACGAACATGCGTTGGACGCCACACATACTTCTCTTCGTCGCTCGCAGCGTCTGGGAACAACATCTCGGGACCGTCGCTCTCGCGGGCCACCTGCCCGAAATGCAAAAAGCCCCGAACGGGTCGCGCAAGGAAACCGACCATTCGAAGCTTTCTGCAATCCAGGTCGAGATCATAACGGAACGGCGGAGATCGAAATGGGAAGGCAGGAGAAGAGCAGACGATTGAACACCCCAGTCTTTCGGAACTGCCTCAACTGGGAGGCGCGGGGAAGCGAAAAAAGATAAGAAGAAGGAGGGAAACGAAAATCGACTACTCACATCCCGGCGCTGAGCCCCCCCGCCCTCCCTCTCTGCTTGGCCGCGTTGAGGGAATCAACAAACGAGCGCGCATAGGGGCGCAGGTGGACGAGAAAGGGGGAATGGCAGGACAGGAGGAGTCCATGACCGACAACTCCGCTCAATGTTAAAATCGCCCGGGGGCCCCTGGCAGCCCGCTTATCCGAAAGCGGAATATGCTGATGGAGGGGAAGAGGAAAACAGGAGCTTGCAAAGGGGCGGCACTATGCAAGGCGGGCCACTGCGCAAACAGGGAACATGGTCGGAGGGAGGAGCGGCAAAACACAGGAGGAACCTGGGAGCATACATGGCGCGGGGAAGGAAATTGGGACAGCCTCGCCAGGCAACGTGCGCATCGCCCGGGCCACCACCTCTCTCTCGTACACGATGAGAACGCCCTGTGAGTCTGAGTGGGTGGCCGCGTTCATGAAGTGCGCCTGTTCAAACTTGGAGATATCCGGAGCGGGGAAAGCAACGCGGCAATCGATCTCCCCGCGAACGTGGATCATGAAAATGTTATGGCAGTTCGGCAGTTCCAACGTTTCCTCATAAGCTGCCGGTCCTCCAATCACGAATATATCGGCCACATCCTCTCGCAGGGCCAGCTCGCTCACCGCGTTCGCGACCGACGCGGTGATCACCATATTCTCATGGTCATAGCGATGCATGGAGGCCTCGGGCATGCTGTGCGTCATCACAACGCCCACCCGTCCTAGCAGAGACCTACACGTCCTCGGAACGGACCCCCATGTACTCTGATCCATAATAACGGCGATCATAATACCTAGGAGCCAAAGATAAGTACGAAGACCGTCCCAACATCTCCCTCGCTGACGTCACGCCAAAGACTTCGACACGGATCAAGCGGTGGCGGTGCGAACCTCGGTAAAGGCTGCTACTGGGTAACAACACACTCGTCATTTGGTTGGTGTGGCGTTCACCCGGTGCCACCCCTGCCAGTTTCCCCTGGCGAGGCTGCGGTGGCCCGCTCGAAATCCGCCATCGCCCCGGGCAGCTTCCACGGCAAGGCATCCCGATGCCATGCTCCAATTTGGTGAGTGCTCGCGATGATGGAAAACGGCCGCATGGGTGCGCCAGCAGAAACGTTTTGAAGCCACTATGGCTGGGAGTACCTCCCCAGATGGAGGGGAGGGGAGGGGAGGGGCGGAGAGGAAGAGAACGAGGAAGCTCGCCCACAGGGGGGACTGGACCACGGTTTTCCCACTCCAACGCGAGATAGCTTCGGCTGCGGAATGACAGTCTCTTCTGTATGGTCTGGCTGATAAAAGAATAATCGATGCTGGATAGCCTCACTGGCTTAGCAATACAATTATATGCCCATAGTTGTTGGCTGGTAAAGGAACCGCATTTCCTCTATAGCTTCGCTAACGGTGGAACAACGCTGTTGTATTGAACTTTGTATGTATTGAACTGTATGAAGAGTGGGTGGAGCCTGCTTTGGGCGCATCTGCCGGGGACGTTCTCAAAATCTGCCTGGTTTGACTCTTGGTTTGGCTTGGTTTGGCACCTGGTTTTGCCTGGTTTGATGGCGCGCCCCGCCTTCGACATCCTCACAATCGGCCTGGTTTGGCTCCTGGTTTGGCTTGGTTTGGGCCGGTTTCCCCTGAAACGTCCTCGCAATTTGCTTAGTCTTTCCCCGCTCTCACTGCCCCGCCCTCCAGCCCCCCTCCTCCTCACACGAGCGCAACAGAACATGCGCGCGCATCACAATACAATATCGAGAGCCGCAAAGCGAAGTACGGTACCGGGAAACATTGCGAGCCAGCAGGGGTCACCGGCCAGCGTAACTTGGAGAACGAGGCCCAACGCAAGCTCTCGTCATCGATCATTCTCAGCTCCGCACGTTCATCACACACCTCTGTCCAATGCTCATAGAAAGAACCTCACACGCGCCGTGCGCCACTGGGCCTGCGCACCGCCCGTTCGCGGCCTCTTGCCGAGCATGGCCCCAGATAGCTCCCCACAAACCTCAAGAGAGCTGGCAATCATTTCTGGGAAGGCTGGTGGAATTACGCGAAGCGTCAAGAATAACTATCATTAAGAAGACTGGATGGAGCCTGGTTGGAGCGATTATGCCCAGGACGTTCTCAAAATCTGCCTGGTTTGACTCTTGGTTTGGCTTGGTTTGGCACCTGGTTTTGCCTGGTTTGATGGCGCGCTCCGCCTTCTTCGTCATCCTCACAATCGGCCTGGTTTGGCTCCTGGTATGGCTTGGTTTGGGTCCGGTTTCCCCTGAAACGTCCTCGCAATTTGCTTAGTCTTTCCCCGCCCCCCCTGCCTTGCCCTCCCGCCCCCCTCCTCCTCGCACGAGCACAACAGAACATGCGCGCGCATCAAAATGCAATATCGGAAGCCGCAACGTGAAGTACGGCGCCGGGAAACATTGCGAGCCAGCAGGGGTCACCGGCCAGCGTAACTTGGAGAACGAGGCCCAACGCAAGCTCTCGTCATCGATCATTCTCAGCTCCGCACGTTCATCACACACCTCTGTCCAATGCTCATAGAAAGAACCTCACACGCGCCGTGCGCCACTGGGCCTGCGCACGGCGGGTTCGCGTCGTGTCGACCCCAGCGTAGGTTCCTGACACCGCGGAGATCGTTCAACCTCGGACGATCGGCCGTTTCCAAAGCGCCGGATCGTTCAACGTTGGGCCGCCGCTGGCGCTCAACCTTGAACGCCGGCGGCGGGGTCGCCGTTGGTCGACACGACGAAAACCTAGCGTAGGAAAAATAGCGGCGGGACAGAGCGACGCCACAGACATGCTCTGCTGCGTAACCAAGCCTCCGAGGCCTCAAAACAGCTGCAAGAGGGCCCAAGAAGGCTCCAAAAGAGGCCCAAGAGAGCTCCAAGACGGCCCCAAGAGCGCCCAGGAGCGCTCCAAAACCGCCTCGAGAAGACCCAAAGGCGATTCGAAACACTCTCGAGGGGCAGCGGTAATCCCACCAGCCCTCTGGGCGGCGGTGGTTTAACGAGTTTCCTCTTCCACCCCTCCCTCTTCCCCTTCGGGGAGGGGTTTACCCCTCCCCCTACCCCCTCCCCGCTGACCTGGACAGGGGGTTCCGCGGCGCGTTGGAGCGCCCAAGATCGACCCCTGGGAGGGCTAAAATTCGACACCCCTCACGAGGATCGTGGCTCCTGAGGGGGGGGCTGTAATTAGGGACCCCCCCTTCGTTGATCGATCTCCTCCAAGATGGCTCCGAGGCCCCCCAAGAGGCCCCCAGGAGGCCCCCAAGAGACCCCCAAGAGGCCCCAAGAGACCCCCCAGAGGCACCCAAGAAGCGCCCAGGAGGCCCCAAGAAGCGCCCAGGAGGCCCCCAAAGGCCCCAAGATGGCCCCAAGAGGCCCCAAGAGGCCCCCAGGAGGACCCAAAGAGGATCCCGAACGGCCCAGATAGGCCCCCCCGAGGCACCCAAGACGCCGAAAAGCCCCTCAGGACGACCCTCCACTCGCCTGGGCGTCGTTTCTGGACGGGCTGGTGGGATACGCGAAGCGTCTAGAATTAGCGACCCCCCCTTCTTTGATAGATCTCCTCCAAGATGGCCTCAAGAGCGCCTGGAAAGCTCCCAAGTGCGCCCCAAGAGCGCCCCAAGAGGGTCCCAGGATGCCCCAAGAGGCGCCCAAAAGGCCCCCAAGAGGCTGCCCAGAAACCCCGAAGAGGCCCCAGGAGGCCTCCCGAGATACGCAAGGCCCCCAAGACCGCCAACATGCCCTCAAAACGGCCCAAGAAGCCCCCAAACTCGCCATGATCCTCCTCCTCTTCTTCCCCCTCCTCATCTTATTCCTCCTTCCACTGCGCCTTTTTTGGCCCTAGATGGCTCCAAACGAACCATAGATTGCCCAAGATGGCTGCAAATTGGCCCAATATAACCAAAGATGGAAGGGCTAATCGTTGCTGGATAGCCTCGCTGGCTGAGCAACGCCCATGTTCACCTATCTTTGATGGCGGGGCAAAAAACTGGTTTGCATTGCTTCGTTGGTAGCAGAACGAGCTTTTCTCTTCGCTAACGGAGGAGCGACTTTTTTGCATTGATCTTTTCTGTATAGCTTCGCTGATAGAGGAACAACCTTTTCTGTATAGCTGCGCTGGCGAACAACAGTTTTTTTGTGTAGCTTCGCATATGGGGGAACGACCGTGGGCCCGAACGACCCCTTCGCAATCCGGAGCGCCAACTTTCGGCGCCCGCCTGCGACTGACGCATTTCTCCGTGCCCCCCCCCCCCCCAGTCCAGCCGACAACGATATGTTACCTCGGGAGCATGGTTGCTCCGCACGAGGAGCTACCGCAGCGGTCGCACTGAGTATGCCAGGAGCGGTCTACAAACAACATAACGACCGACGACAAGTAGAGAGCCCTATTCGATCACCCCGGGAGCACTGTTGGCCCCACACGAGGTCCACTAGACCGCTCGGGCTCTGAAATATCCTTAAAACTTGCTCTTGCTCTGAAACATCCGTAAAGGCTGGCTCGGTGCCCCTCCCCCACCCCCCATTCCCCCTCCCCAACATGCCCCCGAGCCGGAATCAGACTCTCGAGCCAAGGTCGCATCAACCTCCAAGCCGAGAACATCCTCCCCTTAAAAACTTCTACTGACACGGGTCACTCCCCCATGATAACGCTCGGTGTCATTGCAACGCAACGTCGGGGCCCAACATCTCCTTCAAGATGCGCCTTAGCACAGCATTCTGCTCGGCAGTGTCTTCCGACGCATGAAAGCGCCAGAGGTGTCTTGAGAAAAACCTCGCAAGTGAATCCCACCGGAATCTAATTGCATGCGCAAGCCCTGGAGTTCTGTCCGGGAGTGGAGGGCGGCCTCGGGGGTCCCCTACGCCATTCTCTGTGTGCTCTTCGGCCACTCTGGACCCCTGAGCACGCCCAGGAAACCAGAAAGGACCCATGGAAGGGCATCGCAACTTACGACGGGACGCCGCAGGCAATAGCATCAAAAACCATGTCGGGCGTGCTCGGGGCGGGCTCTGCTGAGAGTTCTGACGCCCTGACTGCGGCGATGCAAGCGGCCTCTCCCTGCAGCAGCTCGCGCCCGTACGTGCCCGACTGCCGCGAGGACGCGTTGATTTTGCGCCGCTTGGCGGCCGCCTCGTCTCAACCCCTCTCCACTGTGCACTTGCCCATGACTGTATCGAAGTTTGCGTTGGCCCTCGCTATTAGCGCCATCCGAGCATCATCCTTGATCTTCTCCTGGCGAGGCCCGGTCTCGAAGTGTGTCTTCTGCAATGACTCGCCATACGAAAAGGAGAGGAGCCAGGGCAACTTGTCCTTGAACAGCTTGTTCATCGTGCTCAGGTACATGGTAGCTACTTCCTCGTTGTCCTGCTCCAGGCCAGTCTCGCGTGACCCAAAGAAAACGCCCGGCAACGCTGGAGGCACTGTGCGACGCAGCGCCCGCACTGTGAGCGCTGCGATTGTTTCAGCGTCAGCCGTTGTGCCCGCAACACCGTTTTTTTTTCACCACGTTCATCTTCAGGAGGCAGCCTTCCAGGTAAACGCGGTGATCTGCGAAAGCCTTGAACTGGGCTGCCAACACTTTCTCGGTCACTTCCGAGCAATAAGAAATGTCGTGTTCTCCTTCGGGCAAAACCTCAATTGCAACGATAGGCACCAATTTCTCACTCTGGCAAATGGAAGCGTAGCGCGCCAGGGTGCGCACCGTGTCTGCAATGGCAACGCCACTTGGCAACCCCTCCTCGAAGTGGAGTTGGAGGACGTTGCGCCACTTGGCGAAACGAGCTCCCTTCGCATACGCTTCAGCGCATCTCTCCTGAAGGTCATTGAGCCCAACGGCACGCACTTCGGGCTGGCCCAATGGCCCGACGCTAGTGTTCCACATGCCCTTCTTGTTGTAGCCCTTGTCCACCTTGGTACCTGGAACCATGTCATTCCCAGTAATGATGTTGACTATCGGCTTCCCGGTTGCGTCATTTCGGAAGAGCACCTCCCAGTCCAAGATCACTCCGCTGACGTACTCGCTCAAATCCGGTGCACCGAAGCACAATGCCAAGTACGCAACGCGTTTATCAAGAACATCAGGCTCTGCGGCGACGTCGCCAGCAAGGAAACCCTTTCCCGGGGCGCAGAGCTGGGAAATTGTGGATTTCAACTCCGCCAGGACGCTCTGCGGCACGCGCGCGGAGCACAGCCCGTGCGCAAAGCTGTTCATGCCCGTCCCTTTGAATAAGTCGACGGTAGCGAAAAGTACCTCCGATAGTATGAATCGATGGCAAGGTGGAACCCTTGAGCCCACTCTCGCTGCACGACCTTTGTGGTATGACGCGCGGCATGTCTCACGTGATCCTCCGTCGAACTTGCGCGGCCCTTGCATGTTGGAGAGGACGCGGGCTCCTTCAAAATGGGTGATTGATCATCGTCAGCTCGCCCCACCCTAACCCCCCGCCAGCCTGGTGCTCCGAGGGGCTGTGGCCGGTTCCTGAGGGCGCAGTCCCACGTGCCCAATTTGGAACTTCTATACGCACCCTCTACGCCTCCTCTTGCGAGCCTGGACGACCACCTGGGCAGCCCCCCAAAAAACAGACAACCCATAACATGCTGACGATAAACGAAGAACATAGCCAGACGAGCCCTGCAAGGGCCCAGAATGGAAAAGCTAGCACACACGATTCCAACGGTCCAGAACAAAACGGCACCTCAAAGTTGCGTCCAGAGCCCGGGTTTTCGGTGCGTTTTCACGGCCGGGGTTTGAACGTGCTTTACAAGCAGTGCTTCGCGGATGTTTTGGGTACCAGGCTTTGCGGGCGCATTGGAGCCAGGCCTTGACATATGTTTCAAGGATGTTTTCCGGGCCAAGGAGGAGTGGCACGGAGAGAGCCGAGAGAAGAGGGATGGGCGGGGGAGGAGGAGGGGGAGTGGCACGGGGAGGACCGAGAGAAGAGAGCGGCACGGAAAGGGCCGAGAGAAAAGGGATGGGCGGGGGAGGGGGAGGAGTGGCACGGGGAGGGCCGAGAGAAGAGGGTAGCACGGGGAGGGCCGAGAGAAGAGGGATGGGCGGGGAGGGGAGGGGGAATGGCACGGTGATAGCCGAGAGAAGAGGCATGGGTGAGGGAGGAAGAGGAGGGGGAGGAGGTAGAGCACAGGGAGGGCCGAGAGAAGAGAGTGGCACGGGGAGGGCCAAGAGAAGAGGGATGGGCGGGGGAGGAGGAGGAGGAGGAGTGGCACGGAGAGGGCCGACAGCAGAGGGCGGCGCGGGAAGGGCCGAGAGAAGAGGGATGGGTGGGGGAGGGGGAGGAAGAGGCATGACTACCATCACACGTATGAGGCCATGGCCGGTTACCTCGGGGGCTCTGTTAGCCCCGCGCGAGGTCCTTCCAGCCGCTCGCACAACCCTGGGAAAAAAAAAAGCAACGTGCCTCAGTGGACAGGCGCGACAGAGTTCGGGAAGATCGCCGCGCTCCTCTGCCAATATTTCCCCCCTCCTCGCCAAATCACCCCCCTCCCTATCCCGCCCCCGCTCGCCCGAAAGAATTGAAGCAATCGTCATGGATCCTGGGGCCCCCGTGAGTAGAATTTCTCATGTACTTTCGCTCCCGGTGGCACTGCGCAGATGTGATGCGACAGACGTTTGCGTCGGTTTCCTGCCCATCCATTTGCGCCCTCCACCACCTCCGCTATATGCCCCTCCGCCCCCCCCCCCTCCCCGCGCGCCCCTGGGTCATGCTCCGCCCTAGCGCGTCGCGCCACGTGGGGAAATTCTAAACGCGGCGGCCTTCTGCAACATGCGCATGCAGCGCAAGCCGCGCGAGGAACTCCGAGCAATACGCAGGTGCACGCAGAGCATAGCGAAAACATGAACAGGCCACCCCGGGAGCACCCTTGGCCCCGCACGAGATGGCCCCGAACCGCTCGCCAAAAAAACTCGGGCTCGCGGGCGCTGCAGGTCGCAAAGAGCATGCTCGACTGTATCCGTCCGCATGGACCTCCTCATCACCCCCTTCCTCCCTTCTGCTGCTTTCCCTTGTCTCCTCCTCGCGCTCCCCCCCCCCCCCTCCACCCAGACCTTGCGCCCACCCCGCTGCTGCCATCCTCTCTGCTCTCATCGGCGGCGCCGCTCCGAACAGTTTCACCTGTTGAAGAACGTCTCGCGGACGGCGATGACCACCTCGCACCTGGCACGGCCTCGCTGAATGTTGCTGCGGAAGAGTCCACGCCATCACTCCCCCCAAAAAAGCTTCCGACGCTTCCTCGGGGGTGACTCTGGCATATCATGGTCAACGCTGACAGCGCCATCGTCGTTGAGACTGAATTTGCTGTTCCCACGGTCAACACTGGCCCCCATGATGCGGACGCAAGCCGCGTCATCCAGGTGGAACGCGGCTGCCTTGCCCCACATCGTTACAACAACCACCTGGCCGTCGCTGCTGACGAGGTGTATGTTGCGCCGGGCCTTGACACCAGTGCCCGTGATGCATCGCATCGATGTACCCATCCGCCCAGTTCGACCCTTGATTTGTTAGCTTGCTGGCTGGCCACTTCAAGCGTTTTCACTGGCACGGCCATCGACGACTTGCCCTCCGCCCGGATGCGAGGGCGGCTGCGGAGCTCAAAGGCGTAGCCATTGCCTGATGCCGTCACGGGGCTGATAGCGACAACGGTGCCGCTGGGAATGTGCGAAAGAGCCTGCTCCATCTCCACGGCATGCGCACCCCGCGCGACAAGTTCGCCCAATGTCTCGCCGTCGAACACCCAGGCCTTGTACAGGGGCGTAGTCTGCTTGCTTTGGGTGGGCACAGCCCCCACGGCGATCGACTTCCCCACGAGCACACCGTTCAGAATGGTGCCCACGGCAAGCTCATCAATCAGTGCCAATATACCAGCACCACTCGGGAAAACGTTGTCCATGCCGCCGCACGTGTCTCGCCAACCGCTCTGCTGTCTTTGCCCATCGCCCCATTCGTCGCCACGCCAGCCCCGGCGCGGTTCTGGTGCTAACGACCACGGCGCCGCGCCCCTGGAAGCAGAGCTCGACCGTTCTTCGCGCCCCTCCGAAGGGACACGCTCTTCCCAGTAGTTCCGATGCCGAGCGTCACCCTCCCAACTCGCGGGCGACGCGTCGACGGCGTCACCCTCGTCCGCATTACCATCTCTCGACCACCTGGTCCACTCGGAATGGGGACGATCGCTCCAACCGCTGCCGATGCCCGCCCCCGACCACGCCGCCCCGTCATCCCACGTCTGTGCTGCCCACTGCTGCGTCTCGCTCCAGTCGGTCTCGTTGCTAGCCTCGTTGCCGCCGCGTGCCTCTTTCGTGGTACTCGGACGCGAACCCCACCCAGAGAAGCTCCAATCGTCCGCCTTGCTCGTCCCGCCCCAGCTCCACTTTGGCGTCGTAGCAGCACGCAACGTCGTCGAACGCACCCTCCTCGGCGCTCTCTTGCTCAACCCAGTCCTTCCACTCCGCGCCCCACTCTGACTTCTCGAAGCTCTTCTTCGCATGTCCTGACTGCGGAGGCGTTGTGGGCGCTCGGTTTCCACGCGCGCCCGCTGGCTGTGGCTGTTCTGAATCGGGCGCAGCCACGGACATCACTGGACCTGACGTTCCTACATCTCCCTCTGGCGAAGCCGAGCCATGGACATGAGCACCAGCGGAAGCATGGAGATCCATGGGGTACTGGAATAAAACTGCAAGCTGATAGCCGAGTTGCCCGAAGAAACTCGAACACGAGCCAACGCGCTGCGAAGAAATGGCGAAGGACGCCCAGAGAACTTCCATACAGCACCGGACAACTAAGGGGCCGAGCTTTACAACTGTTCGGGGGCCATGCTTCAAGGATGTTCTAGGGGAGAGGCTTCGGGTATGTGTCGGGAGCCCAGCGTTAGGGAATTCTGGGGAGCTTAGCTGCAGGGCTCGGCTGGGGGCCAGGCTGCAGGGCTGCTTTAGGAATCTGGCGGCTTCAAGGCCGAAGAGTGACAGATCACAATGGCGGGAAACACTGAACAACAAAATAAAACAACCTCAAGCAGCGGGAAACCATCCCAAGCAAACACTTTGTATATCTGTGTGTAATATGTAACAAATGTGTTCACATATGCGCGCGCGTGCGTGCGTGTGCGCGCACGTGCGCGCGTTCGCGGGCCCCAGAACCCACCCGAGACAGCCGTGAGTAGAAATCGCCCCAGGACGCCCCGAGACAGCAGTTACTTGAGATTGCCCCAAGACGCCCCGAGCAGCGAACTCGCCAAAGTGCCTCAGGTCAGCGCATATCGGAGCCCGGGTACGCATCTGAGGATGCATCAGGGAACACGGGCCTGAGCACCTCACGGGCCAATTCTTGGAACCCAGAGTTCTTAGGCATCTCAAGCGACACGGGCAAGAGCACCTCAAGTCAAGGCATTTCATAGTAGCCCTGGGCCAGGAGGATGTCTTGAAGTGAAACGGGTCAGAGCCTTTGTGAGCTATGGGGAGCACCCAGCTCTTTTGAAGGCAACCCCCTCCCCAGCACCTGCCCGGCACCGCCGCTGGGGCTGCTGCCCTGCCGCCCCCCAGGCCTCCAGGGTTCGCCGTTGCCTCCCAGGCAACGAGAAACCGAAAAACAATTTTTCGAGGCCCGACCAATTCTTTTTCGCTGCCCCCCAGGCACCCATGGCCCCATTGCTGTTCCCCATGCCTCTGGAACGCGGCATCGATGTTTCTCTGCTCTGCGGTTTTGCCTGGGACATCCTCGCAGCAGTGGCGGCGTTGACGGCCCCCTGGGGCAACCCCGCGCTGCCTCCGAGGCCTCCAGGGGCCGACTGCTGCCCCCCAGGGTTCCAGAAACCGACAATCTTCGTCCTTCCCCCCTCCCTCCTCGTCGTTTTCCTGTTCCTCCTCCTGGGCTGCGCTTGGGCGGCGCATCCTATCCGGGATGGGCGAATTTCGAAGGCAAATGGGGCGTCTTCCAAGGCGGCCTAGACCCGCGCGGCACGCGGGCGAGCTCACGCCCGCCCAAGCGAACCTTCGCGAAGCTGAGCCGCCGTGGAAAACGCCTCGCCGCCCACGCGCGCTGCCAACTCACGGCTTTGGGATGTTTTGAACGTTTTTGGGGGGATCGGGAACAAGAGGAGGAGGAGGAGGAGGAGGAGGAGGAGGGGGAGGAGGAGGAGGAGGAGGAGGAGGAGGGGGAGGAGGAGGAGGAGGAGGGGAGGAGGAGGAGGAGGGGAAGAAGAGGAGATGGAGGGAGGGGGGGGGAGGAGGAGGAGGAGGAGGAGGAGGAGAGGAAGAGGAGGAGCAGGAGGGATGAGGGAG